CAAACTGTTTCGTCGGAGTTTCACCGACTCATCAGGAGGCTGAACCCTATATATATATTATATATATATATCGTCAAATAGAACTGCCCGGTAAACCGTAGGCAGAGAGGGAGAAGAGGACAACAAATGAGGGGCTGTGACAAACTGTTTCGTCGGAGTTTCACCGACTCATAAATATATATATCATCACAAACAGAACTGCCCGGTAAACCGTAGGCAGAGAGAGAGAAGAGGACAACAAACGAGGGGCTGTGACAAACTGTTTTGTCGGAGTTTCAAGCATCACAACCGTATACTCAGAAAGTCAACGAGAATGTCAGGCATGATCAATAACATATGATAGAGCAAGCTAGCAAACATCGCAGATCGTCTTATGTTCCAAGGAGGCGTTCTCGTCTGGGAAAAATCCAATGAATTCTCCCTTGAAGAACATGTCTCTCAGAGACCGTTGCCAGTCTACTACGTTCCTTGGGAAGTTCGCAAAGTAGTGGGCAATCAGAATGGACCATCCCATGTGATAGATGTCCCCTTCACATGTTCCTTTTCCACTGGCAAGTCAAGAGAATTCAACCGTATACGCACACACGCTTCCTTCTGTGTGGCCGAAGGACCGCCCTGAACAGCATTGATTGCTCCATCTTCATGGAGGATTGACTGTCAGCTTGCCTCTGTACTCACGCTCCCGGGCTCCCCAGAAAAGAAAAGAAAAGGAAAAAAGTCCCCTTCACATGCTCCTTTTCCACCGGCAGGTCAAGAGAATGCAACCGTATATGCACACACGCTTCCTTCCGTGTGGCCGAAGGACCGCCCTGAACAGCATTGATTGCTCCATCTTCATGGAGGATTGACTGTCAGCTTGCCTCTGTACTCACGCTCCCAGGCTCCCCAGAAAAGAAAAGAAAAGGAAAAAAGTCCCCTTCACATGTTCAAACATTGCCAGATTCATGCCAGCGTACTGCTACCTTAAATTGAAGGTTCACGGTTCCATCACACAGGCCCATGATTTCTCATTCTATGGACGGAAATTAGTTATATAGAAATATTATTGATCGTATACTTATATTGAAATATTATTGATTGTATAGTTGCACTTGATTGGTTAAAGAAAATAAGTCTGGACTGAGAAGAAGAGAAAGCAATATATAAGGTACAATATACAAGTCAGAAGACCATCTGAGGATAGACGGTTGAGCAGACGGGAACTACAAGTCAGAGACCCATCTAAGGTATAAAATATACTCGTATCAGGCGAGGTCTGCAGGGAATTCAAAAAGTAAGAACAGAACAAGAATGAATTTCATCGGTGGACCTTGAGGTCTCCAGGGAATTCAAAAAGTAAGAACAGAACAAGAATGAATTTCATCGGTGGACCTTGAACCCAGACGCCCGCGAGTGCAAGGAAACATGAGTAAGGAGGGGTAAGGGTAGGGCCGAACAGAACAAGAATGAATTTCATCAGTGGACCTTGAGACAGGGACCGCGAGAGTGCAAGGAGACGTGCATGTCAGGAGGGCTAAGGATAGGGCCGAGGGGCGTCGTGTCTTTCAGTCTGCGTCAGAATTCTGGGATCAAAAGTTGCTGTCTAGGGCAAGGGCCCAGGAGTCCTCTGGGACGTCCCTCAGGTCAACTGGGTACGGGGGGGTACAGGGGCTCAGAAGCACCCTCAGAGCCGGGAAATGTCGACCCAGCAACCCAGCATGGGCACAGTAGACTGAGAGTCGATGGTTTTCCACGAACTCGTGTCAGCCCCAGATCGCAAACAATCCAAGGCACAGCAAGTTCACAGAAACTTCCAAACTCGCTGGGACCAAGGCACACAGGACGGCCATAAGCAAGTTCTGGCTGCAGAGATAAAGGAAATCTCTTTCATTCCAGGAGGCAACTTGTGGCAGGCCAGAGCCGAGTTACGAAAGCAGGTCGTGACCTCAGCTCGTCCATTCATTTTGCTTGGGAGCTGATGCTGAGCTCGTGTGCCGGAGGGGACTTCACAGCACCCAGCAGAGGTTGAGAGCGAGGGCGGCGCTGCGACAGCCATAGCCAATTGGGTGCTCTCGGTAGTAGAGTAGAGGAGGCGCTGCCTCCATAGCTGTAGCCTGTAGGTAGAGTGTGAGGAGAGAGGGTTCAAGGTGTGATCTGGATATGGGAGAGAGAGTTCTGCTTACTTGGGAGTCCATGGTGTTGACTTTTACACTGCTTCAGTTTTGCTGGCATTCTCAGATTGTATTCCGTATGCTCTCGCCTAGAAGACGCCGCACCACAGTGATGCTTCTGAAGAGAGACTGAGAGGCACTAAGATCAGACAGGCGAGATGACCGCGTTATGATGAGAGAGAGAGAGAGAGAGAAGAGGAGTTTGGGAAGAAGTGCCCGGCAGAGAAGGGGGAGAAGTTCAATATTGTATTCTGATTAATCATTAATTGATTCATTATTGATGATATTGAAGATATTTTTTTATTTTTCTTGCCCAATCAATGGACCACAGATCATATATTAAGCTGGTAGAACAGATACTACACTTGATCTTAGCCAAAAAGCCTCTGACATAAGGGAATGGGGCCAATGGGTCCATGGGTTGATATCTTGATTTCTAATTTCCAGAGGCTGATGTCTTTTCGTTCAAGACCGGAAATTTTCACGATAAGAATTAGAAGGAAGAATGCCACACTCAGCTTGAAAAGAACAGGAGATAACCAAAACCCCTCGAAAAAAAAAAAACTTAAAATGCAGAAGAGTCAAGAAAATATGACATGCTCACTTGGCCTCTCTAGGCATGACAGCTGGGACACCAGTCTTCGGGTAGTCGACTGCCATGGAGAATAGTTTTGCAAGCTCAATGCACAGCGGATCGAAGACCCCTTGCGGACTCATATCGGCTTGAGCTGTATGCGCATTAGAAATCAGGCCTAGGTTGTCGTTTATCATGTGGTTGACGAAGAATCTTTGAAGGTCCTGGGAAAATGACAATCAGATGTTAAGTTCAAGGTCCAAACAAACATGAAAAAAAGAGTGAGCTGACAAACCTTATTTCAAAATAATGAAAAAAAAAGTGAGCATTTTGAGATGATAAATCTGGTCTTATCCTAAGGCAAAGTCTTAAAGGCATATTGCCATATACTCACAACATGACCATTTTTTCAACGTCATTCTGAGCATATAATCTATTAATCATGCTCAGCCTCAATATGCACCCTGGACAGCCCTACCGTCTTCTTCACCCGAATAGAACGCCCGGTCATTATAGCTGCATTTGGCCCAACTTTCAGTCCAGATGCAGCGATAATGACCGGGCGTTCTATTCGGGTGAAGACGGTAGTTTGAGGCTGGTCTTAACTCTTAACTTAACTGTCGACAGACCTAGTTTGAGGATGGTCGTAACTTAGCTGTCATTCCCCACTGGATCTACAGTAGTTGCTCACTATGTTCTTAATGCTGCAAGCACAGCCAACGCATGAACTATTTTCTTAATGCTGCAAACACAACCAAAACATGAATTATTTTCTTAATGCCTCAATCACAACAAAAAACATCAACAACAGGACAGAGTGGAGAAAAAAGACCAACAAAATTTGGCAAACAGGAGAATGCTGATGTCTACAAAATGTAGAACGCTGAAACGGAAAGCGCACCTGCCTGATATTTGCACGAGTTAGAACACTGAGAGTCCGTAACCATCTACACCTGAGAGATCAGGTGTCACATAGACATTCTCGTTTTCATGTCAAAGCTGACATCCTGAACATTATGTATGATTGGGAAATGTGTGATGACGTATCAAATCCACAACCAAGTTGATGAAGTTGAACATGGGTCAATCATTCTTGGAGGTTCCAAGTATGGACCTGTGTGTATGAACCTCATATATATATAATATATATTGTCACATAACTACAAACTAAAAGAGCACACTTAGCAAAACAAAGAATAAAAACAAAAAACGGGCACATTGCAAAAATAAAAACAAAAAGAAAAAGAAAAGCAAGGGCAGATTGAAACCATTAAATTTCTCATTCTTCTTTGAACTCCACCTCCACTGTGCCTCTCACGTGCAAGGCTCGCCACGTTGATGAAGTTGAGCGCGAGCTGCCCCCATAACAGCCCACTTGCACGCTGTGAGAGAGGCAAGAGTGAAGGGGAAGGTGTTAAACACAGGGAAAAGAGACACAGAGAGGACAAACAAAGAATGGAAGAGGGAAAATACGGCGTGTAGAATGAGAAAGAGGGCAAAGGAAAGGGCAAGGAAAAGCTCAAGAATGAGGCTGTCCTTGACGACAGAAAGGACACACATTGTAAGGATGGGGTGGGTGAGCGCATGGAAGACCTGACTGAGCATTTTCAAAACAACAACTGCCACGACGGCTGGCATTAAGCATGCCAACCATACATTCCTSACAAATAGCATGTCTATTGCAGGCCAGAATAAAGGAAGAACGCCCCACACAAAAGAGCATGCATTCAGCATAGCGTCCGTGGCCACAAAATGGACRTATAGTGTCCGGATGAGGAGGGTGCCTTCAGTCAGGAACGGAGGGACAATCCTGTACACACATGGATGCAGAAACCATCTCATGGTAGTGATTGTGACAAAGATGATGGCGAGTACACCCAATTGCAACAGTGTCTGTGGCTGTACAAAGGAGAAGGTCACATAGTGTGCGTACATTGTACTGCTGCACTACAGTGGCAGAGGAATGATCTTCAACATAAAGGAGATTGCCGACAGTGTGATGTGGCAAGAGAACAGCATCATAGAGTAAGAAATCAGTAATATCAATCATGGCATGGACCATGACACCGTCGTTCCACACCTCCCAATGGTCAGAGGCGTGTACAATAGCCATGTAATGGCCAGGCCCGTGCVCAATGCAGGCAGAGATGTGGGATGGAGGATTAAACAACTCACCTGGTAGAGCATGGCGTAGTTCAAGCTGGCGGTTCCTCATCGCTATTTCTAGGACAGCACTGGTAAAACCTCCTTCCGTGGTGTAATTACGATACTCTAGCTGTAGGTCGGGGGGATCAGCGAGATTAGCGAGATCAACATCAAGCTGTAGGGCAATTGCAAGGAAATCTGATGGTGTATACAACGGACGATTGAGAACGCGAAGGCAGCTATTAGTTGCAGTCAGACCACAGAGATTGGCGGGGATCTCAGGCTGGTTTGGTTGGTCAGTCATTTGAAGATCACCCGTGGGGTCTGCGCAGCGTGGTGCACAAGTATGCGGTTCATCCATATGATCCTGGTCAGCCATTTGTGAATCCCTCGTGGGGTCTGCGCCATGTGGGATTAAATGCAGTTCAAGCAGATCATGTTCCTGTCCCTCAGCGTTCGGGGCCACACAGGGTGGGGCACAAGTATGCGGTTCATCCATATGATCCTGGTCAGTCATTTGCAAATCCCCCGTGTGGTCTATGCCTTGCGGGGTTAAATGCAGTCCGAGTTGATCATGTTCAAGGCCCTCAGCGTTTGGGGCCGCATGTTGTACAGCTGGGGGACAAACGAACATGGAAGGGCATAAAACATGGTGTTGTGGCTGTGTGCAAGCAGCTGGACTGTCTGCAGGAGGCATAGGAGCGGATGTATCCGTTTGGAACAACGGAACCGCAACAACCTGTGGAGGAGGCACAGAGAAAATTGGGGTAGACAAAGAAGCAGGCCGCTGATCCCTCGCCAAGTGGCGATGTTGTGCATGTCGTCGACGATGATACACAATAAGAGGAGTGGCGATGTTTCAAACAGAAGATGAGGATGTCACTGGCAATGAAGGCGGAAGAATGGGAAGAATAGAAACCGGAGAATCGGTTCTCAAACGAGACCGTGGAGGAGATGGGGGTGGCGAGGAGGAACACAGCCGTCTGCGGCCGAGCACAGAAAGGGATGAAAGGGGGGTGGATTGGGCAGAATGTCAGAACACAGGACGCGAGTGTCGGGCTGGGGTAGAGGAAGCTACACCAGTAAAAACTATAGCATGAGAAATTCGAGCTACAGAAGCTGAGGAAGTGGTAAAAAGTGGAACCGCAGCAAAGACAACTATTGCAGCAGGAACCGCAGTGGTAAAAAGTGGAACCGCAGCAGAGACAACTGTTGTAG